TGATTGCCATAACCAAATTTTCACTAATAACAATCGAAAAAAGAAAGAAAATTGAAATAAAATTATAAAAACTAATCGAAAAAAATGCAATTGCGCCAGAAAACCTTGTAGACTTTATTTTTAATGCTTTTCTGGATGATTATAACTGATTATTTATTTGGACAAAGAAGTTTGTAATTCTGAATCCAGGACGCAGCAAAAAAAAACTATTAAAGAAAACATATGAATTCAAATAATAACAAATGGCCCGATAAGTATTAATAAAAACTTTGAGACATTGTATAAATTGGAGGATTATAATCATTTTGAAAGGCAATGGAATGCTTAGAAAAGCCGTAATCATAATACTTTCTGTCTGTAGTAAATAGTACGTTTATTGAGACTATTCGAAATAAATAAATTGATTAATTTATTGCTTATTGTTATTATTTTGTTAGTTTATAGTCCAAGTTAATGAATTTTTGGTGCTCGATATATTTGGCACGTGATGTTCGAAACTTTTTTGGGTGGCGATTTTACCCCGGTCCTAACCCACCTATCTAATGAAACAGAACGCTCCAGATCAATGGATAATAATAAGCCCGTATGTTTCCGGGGAAATTGAAAAATGGTTATTACAGAATCTTCAGATCATACGCATGAAAGTTTTCCGCTCGGAATACTGTCCATTATTAGCAATACCAAATTAATTTAGGACTATCACTTATCCTTAACCCTCAATCATTATCAAAATCACGGTCCATAACATTTGATCAATATCAAAATCAGGGATTAACGAATAATACTTTAGAATTATACGTTATAATAAAAATATTATCAAATGACTTAAGAGTTGTCATTATAAATAAGTACCAGAAAATGCGTCAAAAGCACTTTTTAAAAAGGTGCATTCTCTTTAATAATGATGATTTTAGCGAATTCTAGGCTTGGAGCTATATTCTTTGTTGTTCTTAAAGTATTGTTATTATGCCATTTTGCTTCGGCTCAGTGGATAAAAACATTAACATATGATGCTTTTCCTGAGTATAAAATTAATTTGAAAACCCCTCATATTTGTGACAAAACTGTTAAGCAGGTTTATGTCTTATTTATTTAGAATAGTGCATCTTTGATTATTATTTAACATTAATTTTTTTGAATATTAGTATTCAGGATATTATACTGTTAATAATACCAAGCATTTATTCTTTTGGTTTTTCGAGTCAAGAAATAATCCTCATAAAGATCCAATCGTTCTTTGGGTATTGTAATACTGTACCTTATAGTGTTTTTGTTTATTAAATCATTAATTAAAATTTTTAAATTTTTTAAAAATAGATTAACGGTGGCCCAGGGTATGATACTTTTTAAAACTTTATTTATAACAATATAAAGAATGTAAATTTCTCAAAATTTTATGTTATAATATCTGGTCAGAATTGGTTATAATATCAACTTGTATTAAATTAATGCTGGTGCTACGACTGAGTGAAAGCGGTGATTCCACTAGGCGACCATGAGAATTGCGAACAGCGTAATGATAAAAAAGGGATGTAGATGCAATAGATGTCAATGGAGGAGTGCTGATAGAATAGATGAAAACGTAGACCTTTGACACCATGCACGTCACTTTATCTCATTTTATGTATATATGCTACCTTTTTATTATTGTGTTGTTTGCAATACCCATGGCCGTCTTGGCGAATTCAAAGTCGGACACATATATGTGCAGTTAGCACCAGTTGCAGCTTTAAAAACACATAACTTTAATGCATTTTAGATTATCACACGCTCAAATACCCCAACCATAATGACACTGATCAAATTAATGCTTTGTCAACTGCTGAACTGACCTGAGAATTTTGAGTTACATTTACATCCTGATATTATTATTTCATCAATAGCAGTTAATTATATTTTTAATTATACATAATAGATGCCTTCTTTAACTGGGTTATAGTTTGAACTTGGTCCTTGTTCTGTTACCAAAGGAGGTCGTAATACAACTTTTAGAGATTCCTCATGGAATAATAATACTAATCTTTTGTTTTTGGAACAAGTATGAATAGTTTTCTATTTTTAATACTGTGTATTTTGTGTACTTATTAACGATACAAACTACAATATAAAATTATTTTTGTAGCCAGCTAAAGTAGGGTATTCTTATAGTGATGGTGGTGATGATGTATCTACTTCTATAGAAGGCGCGCTCAATGTATACGCATTTTTACAACTCTTTTTCAAAGAGTTTCCTAAATATGCTAAATTGGATTTTCATATTGCTGGTGAATCGTAAACATTGTTAATATATACAAACATTTCTAGTTATTTTGTCATTCTACCTAAACAATATTAACAATATTATTAACAGGTATGCAGGACATTATATACCTGCCATAGCCTCGGACATAGACAAATTTAACAAGGACAATAATACGACAAAGAATCTTACTCATGTTAATCTTGAATCCATCTTGATTGGAAATGGCCTAGTAAGCCCTCTAGTTAATGATGCCTGACGAAACTCACGTGACCTGACGAAACCATATAGTTTCGTCAATTCGTCAGTGACGAAACATATGAGTTTCGTCAATTCGTCAACGGCAAAACAGTTTCGTCAGGCATCTATACCTCTAGTGCAATTCAAATATTATCCAGACATGGCCTGTGATTCAACTTATGGACCAGTATTAGATAATTCTTCATGTGATCAGATGAGGCAAGGTTATGGACAATGTGCTAGTTTGACTCAAAAATGTTATGATACAAGCAATGTAGACGATTGCATAGCTGCTCAAAGTGATTGTATTGCTACAATGCGGAATCCTTTTGTCATCTCCGGTAGAAATGTTTATGATGTAAGGAAGTTTTGCGAGGGTAGCGCTACTTCATGTTATCCAGAATTACAAGATATCAAGACCTATTCTAATCGTGAAGATGTTAAGAGTGAATTGGGTATTGATTCATCGGTGACCTATCAACTTTGTAGTGGAGAAGTTTACGAAGATTTTCTTTCTTCTGGTGATTTGTAAGCAATATAAATTAATCAATTAATATAAATTGATTCAAATTGATCTAATTTCGTGGTTCAAGCTTTTTTTTTTAAAAAAAAAATATACATATACATGTTCAATATCTTTATTTTTTCAAAAATTAGTATGCATCCCTGCGATATATACATTCCATCTCTCTTAAAAAGCAATATTCGAGTATTAGTATATGCAGGTAATTTTATAAATAAGCTAACTTGTTTAAATTTTCTATTTAATTTATTATAACATTATTTTTGTAGGCGATGCTGACTATATTTGTAATTGGTTTGGTAAGCACTTACTA